ACCACGTGGAGGTAAGTCTATCGCACACCCCACCCCTCAATTCATAGTTTATGGCACATTGTGATTCGGGGATATTTTGAAACACCGAGAGAAAGAATGAGGAGGAGGAAAGCTAGGCAAGCCAGAAGACTAAAACCCATATTTCTGTTCTCGTTTGTGTCAATTAGGGGAAAATACAAAGCTTTTAATACCTTTCCTTTAAAAGCTGACCCCATCCCTATGCTCATCACTTTTAACGGCTTGTATTGCAAATGCAAACACCCACAAAGAATAATAAACTAGTTGTATCGAATCACAGGCATTCTAGAGTTACTAAATTGTACGTCTTATGGAAAATTGACAGACTATAAGCTCTGTAGCAATGAGGAGGTGTTTTAAAATACAATTTAAACGTGCAATTTGTGAAAAATGTCCATTTACTGATATTCATAATACTTAATGAAGGAATTATATTCAATATACTTAACTCCCTCCGTTTCACTATCCATTGTAACGTGCCATCTACGTGGCTGCATCGTGCGAATCGAGTACTGTTTATTTGGGCTCTGCTGGTATACTGTGCTTTGTCTTAAACAAGGAGCATGCCTGTCCATATGCAGATAATCCTGGATTTTGTTTGACTACTGGCCTTTTCTCCATATTCTCCTTTGAATAAAGTAATAGAGAGACTAAAAAGCTGACAGAGTTGAGCAGGTCTCTAAGTATTTTTTTGAAAAAAATAGAAAATTCGAATAGTCTCTTGCCTTCTTAATAAATGGCTGACGAATTTTCTCATTTTTCTTAGATCAATAGATCAATATTTTGGTTGAGTGATTAACCCGTTTGTTAGTATTCCCATCTTCATTTAACTTAATATTAAATATTGTGGGGACAAAGCATCTGAAGGCTATAAGCAAAGTCGTCACATTTTTCTAACCTACTCAGTAATCTATATAATTTGTAAAACAGGATATTACAAAGGCCAAATATTATTTCATAAAGCGCAACCATTGCTCATTTTCACTATTAGGATATATTTAGGTACTTCAATATAAAATTTGCAACCGTAGTAATAATAAAATTCATCAATCATTTTTTTGAACAAAACTCCGATCTCTTAATCCACTTGTACCCAATAAATGCATAAATAGGCTAAATTCGTCCACTGCTGTTAACGCAAGATTAGCAAATATTACTTTCTATCTCACCAACATTTTCCCATCTCATAGCCCAAAATTATTCCAAACAATTTTAAGATGGGCTGTTCCCTCTTATTCAATTCCAAAGCTATTTTCGGCATTTTGTGGTTGCAAATTGCACTAGCTGTGGGCTTTGGTGTATTATTGGTATACCTGGGCTTAAGTCCAACTTTCCTGTATTCTATTAATGTCCTTGTTTGAAAAACAATAAAAAATGAAAGTAGGAGCAAATCCACATGCAGATTCATGATCTGCGACAAAAGAGTTAAGAGCGTAGAGCTTTAAATATCTTATGCTTATAAACTGTCCTTCATTCATATGTTTACTAGTTTTAATTATTGTTTAAGCAATGTCCAATACCCACAAAGAATAACAAAACGAATGGGTTGAATAACAGTCCTAATAGGGTGAATTAATTGCACTACCTGTTCAACATTGGCAGATAACAGCAACTAGAGTTATTAAAGTGTGTCATTAATCCCTCCTTAATATCATGCTAATTGGAAACGCCAACTACTTCCATTTCAATAAATCATTTGTTGTAATAAATAATTTCACAATATAAGGTAACTTTAAATAGGAAAGCCCTTATTTATGCACGGCCATTGGGATTGAGCACATCAGTCTCTAAGCAGAAGAAACCCCACCGCCTTTCTCCATTAAAACATAGGATGCGTCCCATTTCCACCATTTCTCAAATGCTGGATTCAAGGTTTGTTCCATTTTGTTCCGACTTGCCTTCTTATTCTCAATTATTGAAACTTTAGTTGATAGACTTACCCGTTTCCCCTTCCAAGTCTTCAATCGCACACATTTAGATAAGCTTATGAAAGCATCCTAATAGGCGTCCAGTTCGTTATAAACTAAATTTAGACATTATCCCTCTCATAATACTTTGCCTTAACATCTTTCTTAATTGCAATCATTTCATTGATTGAGATTCACATATTATTAATACAAATCACGTGATAAGTTTTTCTTGTGCAATTCTTTCCAATTATCGATTTTCTTAGAAACTCTTGTTGATTTCACTCCTCTGTTACTGAGCTACTGACACATTTTTTGACGTCATTGTCGATAAAGAAATCTAATTTAATAAAATTAACTCAAAACCTTAGGATAATAAAGGATGATGCTTTTAAATTTGTCTTTGATTAACTTGACTGTCAGGTGATAATTAAAATGGTCGTTTACTATTTCTATTTGATGGAAATAGAAATAATTACCTACTGAGATTTAATTAAGTGGGATATAATATTTGGAGCAAGTGGTTCAAACCCTATTCCACAGTCAAACACATTTTGAACAGCACATATTTTTTTCACTCCATTAAATATCACTTGGACGATTTGGTTTACAGAAAGATGAATTTTTGCTTGGGAGCAAGATCGAGCATTTCAGTAGAAGGTGATATTGAAAGACGATATTGGAATTGACCAATGAAATTCAAGTTAAATTTTCAGACTGGGTAGAAGTGCTTTCAAAGCAAACAAATTTATTTTCTAAAAACCAATTATTTTTTTCTATGCTGACAACAAACAAACGTCAAAAATCAAGTTACGATCAATCTTTTTGTCGCGATTGTTTCCTCGCTCAATAATAGATATAAATTCTGTTTTTATTATTTAGCCTCACAAATTAAGCTGCGAATTTCCAAAAATTAGAATACTCAATTTATCTTACATAGTTGATCATGCTGTGCCAAACATATAGTGCAGGGTTGATTGCAATTGGGTATGAAGCAAATTCTTGCATGAAAGCAATGACCTGAATGTCCATTCGTGTTGTCACTAAAACTGCGCACAATAATCCGATCATGCTTTTTTCGTTGCGTAATGCAGATGGCATTGTCAAGCGAAAGGAAGAAATGCAAACGCTACGAAGAAGAGAATCTAGACATAAAAGAGAGTAATGCTAAAAAATTCTTTTCATTGAATCATTAGAAAAAAGTCCGTTTTCAGATTTCTTAAGCAATAATGAAGGAAGTATTTATAAAGTTTAATGTTGTTATTCAATTTATCAAAATTGTAATAAGAAATCAATATATGAGGAAATTCAAAAAATGACAAAATCACCGTTTTATTTTAATTAATTTTGTTTGTCACCTTTTTAATTTAACTGAAATAATCAAATAGAAACATCACAAGGAGGCCAAATATAATCCCTGCTCCAATTGCAGCGAAAATCGAACTATAAGGATTAGGGATGTCATTGAGAAAAAATGTCACAGCCATGGCTAGAACTGCAGTGATTCCTGCTGTTGTAAGTGTTGCAATGAAGGTCCATGTTGACCCCAGAAAGATCATCAAAAGTACGAAAATGACGATGAGTAGGGCCAAAGCAGTCATGGTTGCCAATAAATACCCTATGACCCTCAATGAATAGGTTTTGATACATTGATATCCAAGAATATTTCCTTCGCAGAGCCATTTTGGAATACCGATAGAAAGAATGAGCATAAGGAGAAGAAGGCATGCCAGAAGAGCAAATCCGATTTTTCGATCCATATTTTTTGTCTAAGGTTGAAAGAACGCAAAGCATTTTATTCATTTCTTTAAATACAGCTCCTCATCCTGTATTTCATCTCTTTAATTACTGTTAATGCGGTAACAGGCTTCCGCAAAGAATAATAAAATTATTGCATCGAATCACAGGCATTTTAGAGTGAATGAATTGCACCTCACACGAAAAATTGACAGGCTATAAACACTGGAGCAATGAGAAGGTGTTTTGAAATTCGATTTATACGAGTAATTAGCGAAAAATGTCTATTAGCTGATATTCAAAATACTCAAAGAAGGAATTAACGCCAAATTGATCTGTGACTGAGAATAATTAACTCTCTCAGTAATCAAATGTGTTCCATTTCCTTGTAACACCCTTTGCACATTACAAATTCAGTCTCTAGATTGTCCAAATCTTTCAGCCTCACAGAAAATATTTTGCATTCTATTTCTATTCCATTTGGACACAAAATTGAGAGCGGAAAATTTATCCATTAACGACAAATGAATCGATCGTAATTGACCAATAAAAGGCTTTGCAAACTTATTAGAATAAAAATCAATTATATGGCAATCAAATTTTTAATTTATTTATTTCTGCCTACCAATGACATTATGTAATCGCTATTAACTACATTATATAAATCCAAAACTTAATGCACTAGCAATAAATCAAATTTAATAAGCCTTTAATTCATGAACCGCCGTATTGGATACGCTTTTATCGCCTTCCTTGCAGTCTTTCTGTTAAATTTTGCTGTTGGCTTCTGCGGTGGTACTGCGAATCGAGTCTCCTTAGTCCTGCTTGTCGTCAAACACAGGCCAATGTGATCACTGCTGTTCTCTTGTTGGTTGCAGCTCTGTGTATTCTACTTGTGGGTAGTTTCCTCATCCATCTGATAAAAGAAGGACCCAATTGGAGCCTTTTGACTGCTCTCATCTTGTTCGCCTTTGGAGCAATTCTAGCCATTGCTGGTGTGTGATATTACGTTGGAAACTTGGGCCATTGTAGTCCAATTCTTGCCTCCATTGGCACTGGAATTTTAATCTGTCTATTTATTGCAATGGCTGGAGAGTAATTTATGCTGAAGCACATTTTAAATTTTGAAGGCTTAAAATTTACGAGCATGTGCTACCATCATTTTCCATATTGTTAATAAATGTAAAATTAATAATCTTTCATTTTATTCACTCTTAAGTGTTCCTTATTGATTGATCGGGTACAAAAATTTTCTCATATTGGCGAAATTATAAATTCATTCCATTTCAAATCAAAGCCTTAAGTTTTCTATTTGCTGTAAAAATTGAAATCGGAATGAACTGTGTGTGTTATTTAGGACTATTTCCATCCACGTAAAAAAGTAAAACATTCGTTATTCGGCCATAGAATTTGCATTACCTTTTTGTTGCGCATAAGGTGCAGAAAGTATGGGGTGAAATTAGGGTTCGCTATGAGTGCTTATTGGTATATTAGAAGGATGAAACCCAGATCCACTTAGTCACTCGCGTCAGCACGTTGGTTGTGGACTATTTCTACCAATGCCAAAACAGATATCGTCTTTTGAGATGGCCTTAAGTCTTTTTTGTCTTAGAAACCACGACGTGGTTATTATTGTTGACCACGAAATGTAAAAAGCATAAATAGACCGTTGTAACTAAACGTCGCTAAGACTTTCTTCTTTTGTTGTCAATTTTCTCGGGGAATAAACCAAAACCAAATGGCTGATTAACATTGGAATAATGATATCTCCATAAATAATCCTCTTCGTGTTCAATCTTAACAATATCACAGAATTCATATTTTAAAATTTATCCAAGATATCTTTATTCAGTAATTGATAGAAATATTTAGAAATATATATATATATATATATATATATGTATATATATTGTTAGCAGTAGCTCAGCAAAGAAAATTCAACTCAGGATATCCTTGTCTTCGTAATGGAACATGCGGTAGAAAGCATTCGACTTCATAATTGAATTTCATTGTTAAAAATAAAGTAGCCTAGTTACATTCGCCAATATGCTGTGGATTTATCTTGAAACTTAAAAGCATTGGATGGGAATTTCACGAGAAATCAATTTATCTTAGTGAATAATTTCAAATGAATTATTCACCAATATGTTAATTGCCAAGAGAAAACAATTGAGTAGTTCAAATTTAAATGGCCAACAATGAATCATAAAACAATTGCATTAATCAATAAATTTTATTTGTTTCAATAAATTTGGAGGATTGATATGATTGATACATATGGAATGATGGATAATGAAAATAGAAATGGCAGCAGTTGTAACAGTAGAATTCATCTCTAATTTGCTTAAACAAATTTATTACCATTATAACGGGAAATGCATCATTATTTTAGATGCGTACAATCTTAATAAATGCATGGATGAATGAATATGCTAATGGCGTTAACGTAGGATTAGCAACAACCGGTTATGATCTCACTAATTGATCTATTTGATACCTCAAGAGTCATTTAGGAAGGTTCCGTGAAATTGCAAGGTTCTGCAGCACTTGACATTTCTATCGTAAAATGTAAAAGAAATACGTAAATTGACGCATTTCATTACAATTTTTTACTTAAAATATTGTAGAAAGTCTTTCTGTAAGAACCTGGGTACAGACTACCTTGAAGTTGTTGTTAATTAAGCGCTGTTTACCTGAGACATTAGTTAAAATTAGATAGTTGAGGATTTTTTAATTGTTTCCAGTCAGAAATATTCATTGGCTGATAATTTAATTTCATGATGTAGAAAGTATTGACTAACATTTGCTTATCTTATGCTAACAGTATTGCACGAACTTGGCATATTCATACGTTTATTGAGTGTAAGTAAATTTGTTGATTATGAATTTATTCAAACAAATGATTGATGCATTTTATAATTACCGCACAAGCACAAAGTTTTAACTGTCGTCTGCACACATACTTATCCAGATATTTACTACATTTAGTCATTACTATTGTAAGTCTAAAGCAAACTCAGAGACAGTCAGATTACAAGGTTGAGTGGAATTGATATCATAAAAGATTGCAACCATTGCTAGAAGAGTCGTTATTTCTGCTGCAACAAGTGCCACAATGAACATTCGAGATGAGCTCTGGAGGAACATCAAAAGTAAGAAAAGGAGTACTAGTTGAGCCGCAGCAATCACGGCTACCAAAAACGTTCGTATTGATATTGAATACATTCTTCTCCAAGAACATGTCCATGGTAATTTCATCTTGGAAATCCAAAAGAAAGTAAGAGCAGAAAGTGAACAAGGCAAGCGACAGGACCAAAAACGATAGTTCGATTCATGAAATATGTCTTCTTTCACAGATCTTCTGAGGTAATCTAAGTCAACGAAAGTAGAGCGAATAATAGGGTGATAGTTAATTACAATATATTTATTTATTTATTTCAAATGGCGGGCATTTTGATAGTTATCATTAGCCCTTTAGCTGACTTCGGGATTCACAGAAGGGAGGAACATTAAAGTGAGAAAAATTCGACAGGGGAAAAGAAGAGCGATTCACAGATGTAAAAGAGACAGACAGACACAAAGGCAGAGAAAAGATAAGATGAGTACTGTGAAAGGGGTCGAATATGACATGCAGTGGGGACACGGTATTTTGAAGTCAGAGGTCAACTGCCAGTTAATAGACTTTTTAGCCTTATGATTATACGTTGCCCAGGGTGCACCACGTGGAGGTAAGTCTATCGCACACCCCTTAATTACAATATTACCAAATAAATGTTCACAATAAACTTTGCTAATACTTCC